GCCTGCTCATCCCCGGGGGATCACCCGTACGGGTGTACCCCCACCCCCCCTACCCCCCCTCCCGGCTGCCATCACGTGGGGTGACAGCGCAGGGAATGTGTCGGTAGAAATAAAATATATATCAATAAAATAGAAATAGAAACGTCTTGCAGACGAATAAATCCCCAACCCCTCTGGGAAGGGGCTCACAGCATCCCCCGGGGATGGCCGGATCCTGCCCGGAGCTGAGCACACCGAGCTCACCGTTTCTCCTCTCCCATTCCTTTTTCCTGACCCCTACAAATAAATCCAATTAAAACCCGCCCTCCTGACGATGTATAGCAGCCGCTTCATAATTAGCTGCTATTTAGAAGCGTAATTAAAATTCCCTCCCGGCAGATGCGGTTCGGGGTCGGCTGCATGCCGGTGAGCCCCGCTCGTTGCCGTCTGGCGTCGGAGAGACACGAGGCGGGGTGGGCAGAGGGTTTGGGGGGGCTCCCAGCAGCTCCCAGTTCCCATATGGGGCTGAACGTTCTCCCCCCGTGCTGATGGGTTTCATCCCACCCCATCCCTGACCATCACCGCACCAGTTCCTGGACCGCTCTGCACCTTCTGCATCCCCACAGGGGCTCAAACAAGCCAGGAAGCATCAAGAAGTCATTTCTCCTCCGGGGTGACAGCGCAGGGAATGTGTCGGTAGAAATAAAATATATATCAATAAAATAGAAATAGAAACGTCTTGCAGACGAATAAATCCCCAACCCCTCTGGGAAGGGGCTCACAGCATCCCCCGGGGATGGCCGGATCCTGCCCGGAGCTGAGCACACCGAGCTCACCGTTTCTCCTCTCCCATTCCTTTTTCCTGACCCCTACAAATAAATCCAATTAAAACCCGCCCTCCTGACGATGTATAGCAGCCGCTTCATAATTAGCTGCTATTTAGAAGCGTAATTAAAATTCCCTCCCGGCAGATGCGGTTCGGGGTCGGCTGCATGCCGGTGAGCCCCGCTCGTTGCCGTCTGGCGTCGGAGAGACACGAGGCGGGGTGGGCAGAGGGTTTGGGGGGGCTCCCAGCAGCTCCCAGTTCCCATAGGGGGCTGAACGTTCTCCCCCCGTGCTGATGGGTTTCATCCCACCCCATCCCTGACCATCACCGCGCCGGTTCCTGGACCGCTCTGCACCTTCTGCATCCCCACAGGGGCTCAAACAAGCCAGGAAGCATCAAGAAGTCATTTCTCCTCCCCTGGGGCACCTTTCTTGAGAGGTGGTTGAGAGCTGGCTGTGTGACAGGACCCAGAGGGTTGTGGTCAGTGGCATGAAGTCTAGTTGGAGGCCTGTAACCAGTGGTGTCCCCCAGGGGTCGATACTTGGTCCAATTTTGTTTAATATACTCATCAATGACCCGGATGAGGGGACAGAGTGTATCCTCGGCAAGTTCGCTGATGACACCAAACTGGGAGGGGTGGCTGACACTCCAGAGGGCCGCGCTGCCATCCAGCGGGACCTGGCCAGGCTGGAGAGCTGGGCAGAGAGGAACCTCATGAGGTTCAACAAGAGCAAGTGCAGGGTCCTGCACCTGGGGAGGAAGAATGCTGGGCACCAGTATAGGTTAGGGGTGGACCTGCTAGGAAGTCGCTCTGAGGAGAAGGATTTGGGGGTCCTGCTAGACTAGAAATTACCCATGAGGCAGCAATGTGCCCTTGTTGCCAAAAAGGCCAATGGCATCCTGGGCTGCATAGGGAAGAGTGTGACCAGTAGGGCGAGGGAGGTCATTCTCCCCCTCTACTCGGCACTGGTGAGGCCACAACTGGAATGCTGGGTCCAGTTTTGGGCTCTCCAGTTCAAGAGGGACAGGGAACTGCTGGAGCGAGTCCAGCGAAGGGCAACCAAGATGATTGAGGGACTGGAGCATCTCCCGTATGAGGAGAGGCTGAGAGCGCTGGGACTCTTTAGCCTGGAGAGGAGAAGGCTGAGGGGAGACCTTATTATGGCATACACGTATCTAAAGGGGGGGTTGCAGGAGGATGGAGCCAGACTCTTCTCGGTGGTTCCCAGGGACAGGACGAGGGGCGATGGGCACAAGTTGGAAGAGAGGAAGTTCCGTTCCAACAGACGGAAACCCTTCTTTAGGGTTGGGGTGACAGAGCAGTGGCACAGGCTGCCCAGGGAGGGGGTGGAGTCCCCTTCTCTGGAGGTTTTCAA